GTTCTAGTACATACCGGTTACATAGGTACCGGGGGCCATATTGGTACCGGGTTTCGGTACCCAACCCTAATGTGAATGCAATTCCAAAATGTGTTATAATGCAATTGATAATAGTTAGTTTTAGATTTACAAACATGATTAAGTGTTCTATATAACTCCTGATCATTCCAAAGGCACCTGACATCACTTCTGGAACTTCTGGAATGTTGGAGGGTGGGGAGTTAATTGGAAGTGTGGAATCAGAATTCCAGAATTGTCATTTGAATCCTGGAATGTTTTATGATCTTCTATCACTGGTTGTGATTGGATTGGTGACAGCTTTTGGATGGCTTTCATAATTTTGAGACTAATCTAATACATTTGTGTGTGTATTTTGAATGCATCGTCATACTAGAAGCATGTGCTGTATTTTGGGGTGATGATGTGCATTACGAGAGCTATTTGTAGAATGAATCACAATGTTTGTGAGCAGGAGACAGAACGACAGGGTCTGTGTGAAACGGCAGCGTCTGGTTGCATGACGTTTATTGCGTAACTTCCACATTTGAGAATTTCTCGTAAACTTCCATGTCATGCATTTAGTTTAAAGTGTGATTTTGCATGCACAGTATAACTATAGTTAGCGACGTGCTGTCCTGCTGTCCTCGTCCCAGAACTGAAAATATGCATGTGATACTAAACCTATAACTAGAGTTCAAAATCACAATGTAAGCATTTCCGTTAATTGAAATAAAGTGAAATGTTAGATAAATGTACAACATAAAATGACTAAAACCTAATATAAACTAATATATAAAAATAAAAGCTAATTAAAAATATTGGTGAATGCAATATAAATAGTATTAAAACTTAAACTTTAAAAAATATGTTAAAGTCTTACATTTAAAAACTTAAAACTTAATGAGAAATACTGCCTTGGTAACAACTGAAATAAAATAAGTTGAAGTTGAAGTAATAAAATTATAAAATTGTATATTATAATTACATTTTATATTATAAATTATAATAAAAATGACTCAAATTAAAACTGAAATAAAAATAAAAAATGTAAATGACAAAAGCACATTTTTTGATCTAAGTGAAGAGAGCGACTTCAGATCTAAGACAAGATCAATGAGTCATTGATGAGATCAAGTTATTTATTCTTTAAAATGGTAGAAAAGTGTTTTGTTATAATGCCAGAAACAATCTAAACAAATATGAGGAACAAATACATAGCCTAATATTTAATCAGTCCCTTACTTGAATCATCAGAACATCACCTGATTCAAATTGGTCCCAAAGTCTCATGTTTGTAAAGGTGTGAAGCATAAGAATCTGGCTCTGAGGGCCAGACGCAGAAAATGAAAGTGTATTGTTTTGATTTCACACCGAAGGCAGGAAGTCTGTGGTGTGAACACACACACACACACACACACACACACACACACAGAAGGCAGCAGCAGATGGTAGACCGGCCCACTGGAATGGGGGGTCTGTAGCCTGCAGTCACAAATGTGCTCAGGGGTCACAGGTCACTGCAGCATCTGTTCAGAGTCGACTCTCACACGCACTCCTGCTCTCGGACCTGTTGCCACGACGGGCTGCAGATGACTTCTGCTTCTGTCTCTGGGGACAAAGAGAGGGAGACCGCGTTAATGCCTCAAGTAAACTCACACACACGCATCTGAGCATGCAAGTATTTGCCAAGGGATGTCTTTATTATTAAACTACTGCATGTCAATTAGCAAATCAAATATATGGTGATAAGGTTTACCTGTGTGTGTATATGTGTGTGTGTGTGTGTATATATATACACCCACAATATTGATATCTTTAAAACAATTATAATTTATAACTTTATTTATATATTGTGTATAATACATTTTATTATTAACTTTTTCTTTTAAAGAATAAATTCTTTAAAACACAATGCACTACATTTTGAAAAAAATCTATATATTAAGAGTGAAACATATTTTTTTTACATTTATTTTAAAATATATATATTTTTTCCTTTTAAAGAGCAACTGAATGTATTAAAATGCACTGCACTACATACAGTATTGCGCTTTAAAAACCTATTATATTTATTTATAAATGTATGTGCTTATGCGTATAATAAACATTTGATTATATTTTATTTAATTTTTTTATATTTAATTTTTTATATAAATATACTATTATTATTATTATTATTAAATTGTTTAAAAAAATTACAAATATTTTTAAAGTTTTCTTTACTTTTTAAGAACAATGAATTCATAAAAGCACAATGCACTACATTTTGTAAATAAATTCTATATATTAAGATCCAAACTTCTGCCATTTAAAAATGTGAAATTCATTTCAAATTTAAAAATTGAGAAAGAAGCATTAAGCACTAAGATTTTGATATGTTCAGCCCAGGTTGTGATATGTTTAATACAGACTTACGATAAGCACATAGAAGATGGAATAAATGGAAATGATGAATATGGATGAGATCAAATCATACCAATGGAGATTCTGTGCTGATAAAAGTGAGATATCAGCAGCAGGAGTTTGGGAGGGGTGGAGTTTGATCCTCTCTTGGGAGCTGCCTTAGTGACCGTATGCCACTCGCCATGGCAACAGGCTTTGGGGGAGGGGCCTGATGCACAGCTGCCCTTATTTATGCACACACCTGCTGCAGCTCACAAACACACACTCACATGAATAATAAGACACGCTGCATTTACTATATCTTACTGTCAACTTCACTTTTTGAAATGATCTTCATTGGCTGTTGAAGAAAGTGTTCAGAGGTGTCATTTAATGTGTTCGTATGTGTTCATATGAGAGAGAGAGAGAGAGAGCATGTGACACTGTGTGGGCTCCTGATCACCCTGAGGAATTTAGATGAGTTTGAACAGTGTCCTTCTTTCACACACTGTTTTATACGTGCACACACACACATACGTTTACTTGGCCATCTGAGTGAGAACATATCATAGACTTCTGCTGTTATATAAAACAAAATACCACAACTTTAACTCTAAAAGAAACATGCATTTCTAAAATGTAAAAAATAAGTTCTGTTTTCAATTGATGACTAATGTCATGACTAATTATTAGAGGTGGGAACCTTTAGTCTCCTCACGATCCGATTCCGATTCTGGGAGTAACGAGCCGATTCCAGAACGATTCTTGATCTACTTTTCCCCTCTTATTAATTAATTAGTTTACCGACTTGAGAATCTTCAAATTCTTACATTTACATATCCTTACATAAGTAATTAAGTACTTTTTATAATAATTTGTTATAATATAACTTCAAAACATACAAGCAAGTAGCAAATAATAAAGAGGAGCATAGAAACATATTACAAACAACAAACAAAGAGTGCGTTCAGTATTTAAGATGATCTGAACGTTTTCCATTCAAGAACTGTGAGTGATTTTTCTTCATCTTTACTGTTATTTTTTACTATGACATCATAGACAGTGGGAGATCTATTGAGCTGCATTCACACACGGATCTCTTTTGAAATATAAGAAGTAATGTGGTTTGTCCTGTCCGTTTAATCCCTTAAGACAACTGGCTGTGTTTACATTAATTTTGCATCATAAAACCATTTTGAGACCCAAGTGCATTAAACCACATGCACGGAGTCGCGCACAGCCGCATTTGAAATTGAAAGCAGCCTTCTGTTAGTGAGGTGCATATTTTAAATATATGTCCACTGCATTCCAAACCACACAAATGATGACTTCGTAGAGCATTTGTAAGGAAAATACAGGCGGGCGAGACCGCACACTTCAAGTGTAACATCAAACAAAGCGCGCATCTCTCACAGCGCATCCTGTGCAATGAAGCCCGCGAATGTCCTTGCAATTCGCTTCAACCTTTCCGAACTTTATGAAAGATTATTTTACGGAAGGTTCGAGTGTGTGTGAGGAATTGGAAGCAAGCTGAATACGGGTGTTTCTAAAGCAAACTCAGCATCATCGCGCATCTGGTTAAAAACTAAGCTCAGAATCGAATCTCTCACAGCGCATCCTGTGCAATGAAGCCCGCGAATGTCCTTGCAATTCGCTTCAACCTTTCCGAACTTTATGAAAGATTATTTTACGGAAGGTTCGAGTGTGTGTGAGGAATTGGAAGCAAGCTGAATACGGGTGTTTCTAAAGCAAACTCAGCATCATCGCGCATCTGGTTAAAAACTAAGCTCAGAATCGATCCAGAATCGCTGGAGAGAGAATCGCGATGCATCGACGGATCGATTTTTTTTTCTCCCACCCCTGCTAATTAATGTCTAAATATGTATGACCACAAGCCTAAAAGAAACATTTGAGTCAATATTTGTCATATTTAGCTAATTTTAAGACAAATGTGTTGTCAACCTATTGTTAATTATTTATATTATAATCTCTGTGTGTTTTGTGTTTCTTGAGGTGTCCTGCAGACTTAGTAAAAACGTATAATTAGGAATTAATGAATGTGTGCAAATATATAAAATGTACAAAACCAATTACCATGACTATAACCCTTAACAAAAGTATATTATTATATTTTAATTATTATATATTATATTATAATATAATACTGTTTTTTCAGGGTGTCCTAAAAATATATCCTTTTTTTATATATAAATATATGCTTATGCTTGCATATATATTTATTATATTTTATATAATGTGTGTAAAAAAAATTCACTTAGAGCTTTTTTCATATTTAGCTCTCTTGAAACAATTTTGTTCTCAAACTATTAAGTAATTACATTATAATCTGGTGTATATAATATTATAATATTAATCTAATTAATTAATCTGTTTTTAAATGCATATGAGTTAGTGAATCAATAGAAATAAACAAATATATATTAATGTAATTAGCATGCCCATAACCCTTTAAAGAAATATTTGCATTTTTGTAAATTATTTTTTTTTCCAAATTATCTTGAGTGTTTTGTCATGTTTATCTACTTTCTAAGACCGTTTTGTTTCTAAACTGTTGTTAAATAATGATAATAATTGTTTCATGTTTTGTGTTTCTTCAGGTGTCCCGCAGACTTCGTCGGCCCCCAGTGTCAGTTGCTGAACCCCTGCAGCCCGTCGCAGTGTCGTAACGGAGGCGTGTGTCGCACACGGATGAAGGGCAATGACGTGGAGCCGGTCTGCGACTGCGTGTTGGGATACAGCGGCCCGCTCTGTCTGACGCCCGTCAATCACGCCTGCATGGGCTCCCCATGCCGAAACGGCGGGACATGCTCTCTGCTCACGCTCGAGACCTTTACCTGCCGCTGCCCACCTGGATGGTCAGGTACGCATGTGCATAAATCACCCAGACTTGATGCTCGTCCTCATGGGTTGCATGTAGTGGTGCAAAGAATCACAAAAATCACGGTTGGGATCATATTACATATTTTGAGTCATAGATGGGATAATTTTTCGGATCAGCAATAAAATAAAAAAATTAAAATTACCGAAAACTTACTTCTATACCACAGCAGAAGCTACTAGCTTAATTAAGACAGTCAGTAATAAAACAAGAACAATTACACAAATTACAAGCATAGATGAATATACAACATAACACAGTTACAAATAAAGTCAGTAACAGAAGTATGCAGGTGCAGAAATGTAATAAGTAAGTGTAAAATAACACAATAGTGCTCACTGCACAAGTTAAATACAGATTAATCTTAAATAAAGCTGTGGTGTTATTTGATTAGAAGACCAGACAGGTATTTACAGGCTTGTCTCTTTAAGACCGAATGCTGACACACCTACGTTTTTTTTCTCAGCTGTTACATTCACTTAAGTCAAGTCAAGTCAAGTCACCTTTATTTATATAGCGCTTTTAACAATACAGATTGTGTCAAAGCAACTGAACAGCATTAATTAGGAAAATAGTGTCAATAATGCAAAGTGACAATAGTAAACACTCAATTTTCAGTTAAAGACAGTTCATCATTGAATTCAGTGATGTCAACATCCAGCTCAGTTTAAATAATATCTTTGCAATCATGTCAATGATATCGCTGGAAATGAAGTGTCCCCAACTAAGCAAGCCAGAGGCGACAGCGGCAAGGAACCAAAACTCCATCGGTGACAGAATGGAGAAAAAACCTTGGGAGAAACCAGGCTCAGTCGGGGGGCCAGTTCTCCTCTGACCAGACGAACCCAGCAGTTCAATTCCAGGCAGAAATTAGAAATTAAGTTTCTACAATATTTAGTGGTAGATTATCAGTGGTGACTGTCAGTTAATGTACATATGGCAGAAATGTACGGAAAAATCAATTTAAGACGTAATGGTCTTAAGACATAACCGACAGTGTTTACCAGAATACTTGCCAAAACGGGTATTTTAACGTAACTTTGTGTGTATGTGAATGAGGAGTCAATAGGTTGTTCACGTGCTGTCTGTCCCGATTTGAATTCTCTTTCACATGAATGGTTTAAAATCGCTTGAATGAGTAAATTGGCAAGAAAAAAAACGATTATGATTAGCTTTCACGCTCTGATGATCACCGTGGGGCCTGGTCCGTACGGATCATCTGTTGCATCCCTAGTTGCATGATAAGTTAACTTCTGTCTTTTTGCAGGTAAAACATGCCAACAAGCCGACCCATGTGCGTCGAACCCCTGTGCCAACGGCGGACAGTGTTCAGCGTTCGAGTCGCACTACATCTGCACCTGCCCTCCTAACTTCCACGGACAGACGTGCCGTCAGGACGTGAACGAGTGCGCCCTCTCGCCCTCCCCCTGCTGGAACGGAGGCACCTGTATAAACGAGGTGGGATTGTACCTGTGCCACTGCCCACCTGAGTATGCCGGCACACACTGCGAGCGCCTCTACCACCCCTGCCACCCCTCGCCCTGCAGGAACGGAGGCACCTGCTTACAGACCAGCGACACCACCTATGCCTGCACTTGTCTGTCAGGTCAGTGTGTTATTTGTATTTCTCGAAGTTAAAATTTGATTAAACACATTTTTTATTGAATAGGAAAAATTAAAAAAAATTATAGTTTAATAAGTTTTATAGATAAATATATATTTTTTATAAATGAAAATTTTTTTATCTAAATTAATGAATGAAAGAATTTTATAACCATTTAAAAAAATATTTAGAAATGAATACATTTTATGAATGAATACTTTATGATTGAATGAATAAATAGTTTTGTGAATTAATACGTTTTATAAATGAGTAAGTTCTTTTATGAATGAATCAATCAATTTTATAAATAATTATTTTTTTATAAATTTATGAATGAATAAATGAATTAATGCATTTTATTAATACTTAACAAAATATTATAAGTGATCATTTGTGTAAATAAAAATTAATGAATACATATGAATAAGTTTTTACAAATAAAAATCAATATTTTTTATAAATAAATGAATGAATAAATAAATTTTATAAGTGAATATATAAATGAATGAGTACATTTTATAAACAACAACAACAACAGTTTGTGTTGTTAAACAATAGTAACAACAATAGTTTGTTGTTGTTGAATATATATACTGTATACAAACACTGAATGAATGAATGATTTTTAGAAATGAATGTATGAATTAATAAATTATTTATATAAATGTATGAATAAATTTATATATTTTTATAATTGAACAAATATTTTTATGAATGAATCAGTTATAAAAATGAAACAAGTAACAATTTTTATAAATGAATGAATAATATTTTACAAATTAATGAATAAATTTTACAAATAAGTGAATGAACAATTTAACATTTAGTTCACATTTCAGTTTAGTTTGTTTTATTACCATTATTTGTACTTCAAACTGGTTTTATTTCATTCCTGCCTGCAGAAACAATAGTTTTTGTCTTTGCATACGTTAATAACTCTGCATGTGCACAGTTATTCATTAACAGTTTGTCTGGATGCGGTGCTTTTTTGTCTTAGTTTATATTTAATCCCAATGAGTGACCTAGATGTCTCAGTTACTCACTCGAGCACATAAACATAATCCGTGTACGGCCTCAGACTCTTTGATGTGTATTGAATGTGAATCATTTGTCTCCCGCAGGGTTCACGGGTCAGACGTGTGAGCATAACGTTGACGACTGCACCCAGCATGCCTGTGAGAATGGAGGCAGGTGTATCGACGGCATAAACACCTACAACTGCCACTGCGACAAACACTGGACCGGTACTACATTTTATACTCCACAATAATAATAATAATAATAACCATACAATGCAATAAATATTTTGCATGCACCTCACATGTGACATCTGAGCCCTTCCTCCTTCAGGTCAGTACTGTACGGAGGACGTGGACGAGTGCGAGCTCTCTCCTAACGCTTGTCAGAACGGAGGGACGTGTCACAACACCATCGGCGGCTTTCACTGCGTGTGTGTGAACGGCTGGACGGGCGACGACTGCAGCGAGAACATCGACGACTGCGCCAGCGCCGCCTGCTCACAGGGTGCCACCTGCCATGACAGAGTCGCGTCTTTCTTCTGCGAGTGTCCACATGGTCGCACAGGCACGTCTGTTTGTGCAGTTTCAACGTCCAACACCACTGTTATTGTAGTATTATTTATATCAAATTTTTGTAACGTTATTATGGGCTTTTGTCTTTTTTTAATATTTCAGTTTAAAGGGTTAGTTCACCCAAAAATGAAAATTCTGTCATTAATTACTCACCCTCATGTCGTTTCAAACCCGTAAGACCTCCGTTCATCTTCGGAACACAAATTAAGATATTTTTGATGAAATCTGAGCGCTGTCTGACCCTGCATAGACAGCAGCACAACTGAAATGTTCCCAAGTCCAGAAACGTAGCAAGGAGATCTGTAAAATAATCCATGTGGCATCAGTGGTTCAACCGTAATTATACGACGCTACGAGAATACTTTTTGTGCGCAAAAAAAAAACAAAAAACGACTTCATTCAACAATTCGTCTCCTCCGCATCACCCTGTAAACAGCGTATGCTGTTCTGTGTCAGCTGCGTCACGCGGATACGCTGTTTCCATTCAGATCAAATCACAACAACGTAGGAAACAGATCCGGCGTGACGCAGCTGACACAGAACAGCATACGCTGTTTACAGGGTGATGCGGAGGAGACGAATTGTTGAATAAAGTCGTTTTTATTTTTATTTTGCGCACAAAGTATTCTTGGAACATTTCAGTTGCGTTGCTGTCCATGGGAGGGTCAGACAGCTCTCAGATTCCATCAAAAATATCTTCATTTGTGTTCTGAAGATAAAGGAAGGTCTTACGGGTTTGAAACGACATGAGGGTGAGTAATTAATGACAATTTTCATTTTTGGGTGAACTAACCCTTTAAGTTTTAGTAATTTTCATACCTCTACTTATTTTATTACATTTCATTTCAGCTTATTCTTATTTTATTTTAGTTGCCAAGGCAGCATTTCTACAATTCAAGTTTTCTGAGTTTAAGTTTTTCATCTACGAATTTATTTTATTTGATCTTTTATTTTATTTTATTTTATTTTAGTTTTTCACTTGTCTATATTATATTTTTACTTTTTATTTTATTTTAGTTCGGTTTATTTTATTTTATGAGTATTATTTATATTTATATATAAATGCACTTGTGTTGCATTTCTGTGTATGAAACCAATAGCTTTTATATTTTTTGTTTTGTTTTAGTTGAGTTCAGTTTAGGTTATTTTATGAGCATTATTTATATTTCAGTTGTGTTTCATTTATGTCTGTGAAACCAATAGCTTTCATATTTTTTTATTTTATTATTTTGTTTTAGTTAAGTTCAGTTTAGTTTCGTTTATAGGCATTATTTATATTTCAGTTGTTTCATTTCTGTTTATACAACCAAAAGCTTTTATTTTTTAGATTTTTTATTACTTTTTATTTTATTTTGTTTTAGTTAAGTTAATTTTAGTAAATTTTATGGACATTGTTTATATTTCAATTTGTTTTATTTTTATTCTACCTACAAAAACAATATTTTTTGTCTTAGCATACGTTAATATTTTATTTTACTTAAATTTATTTTCATTTCATCTATGAAAAGCATATCTTTTATATATTTAAATTTTTATTCCAGCTTAATTTCAGTAACCAGCATCAGTTTTGATTTTAGTTAATAGTAACAAAACTGTTCCCCACAGGTCTTCTGTGTCATCTTGACGATGCCTGCATCAGTAATCCATGTCAGAAGGGCTCAAACTGCGACACGAACCCGGTGAGTGGAAAAGCCATCTGCACCTGTCCGCCCGGGTACACGGGATCCGCCTGCAACCAAGACATCGATGAGTGCTCGCTCGGTAAGAATAACACATGATCGATTAGAAAGAACAATAAACTCAATAGTTTTGCTTTACAATACTGTTTGCTTTGCATTTCAGGTGCGAACCCATGTGAGCATGGCGGACGGTGTCTCAACACTAAAGGCTCGTTCCAGTGCAAGTGTCTTCAAGGTTATGAAGGTCCACGCTGTGAAATGGACGTCAACGAGTGCAAGTCGAACCCCTGCCAGAACGACGCCACCTGCCTCGACCAGATCGGTGGATTCCACTGCATCTGCATGCCAGGTATGAGTCTTTAACCATTTACCTGCATCAAAAGCACATCATTACTGTTATTCTAACTGACTGTTTTGGTGTGTAGGTTACGAGGGTGTGTTTTGTCAAATAAACACAGACGACTGTGCATCGCAACCTTGCCTCAACAATGGAAAATGCATCGACAAGATCAACTCATTCCACTGCGAATGTCCCAAAGGTGACTGCAGCATTATTACTTTTAGAGATCTGATCATAAAAACTAGCAATGCGGATGCATTGCGGGTGAGCAATCAAAATAAACGTGGCATGCATTTTTCCCTGCAGGGTTCTCTGGGAATCTGTGTCAGGTGGATGTGGACGAGTGTGCCAGCACACCGTGTAAAAATGGTGCTAAATGCACAGACGGACCCAACAAATACACCTGCGAATGCACTTCAGGTACACATCTTTAAGTCATATTCTGCACTTTTGCAGTCCATTGAAGTCCATTTATAATATTAGTTTTGATATTTTCTAGCACCAAAAACATTTTCACATCTGTTTTGGTTCAAATATTCAACCTTTCTGAACCTTTAGAATTTGGAATCTGTTTTTGTAACTGTATCTTAAGAATTCTATATGTTATTTTAGAATAATTTTTATTTTATATTCAGTAATATTTAGCATTAAATTTTATTTTTATATTTTGCCGTTTTCATTTTAATTTAAGTTTATTTTATGTGTTTTTGTCATTAGTTTTTGTTTTAAGTATTTCTTTATTATTATTATTATATATTATATTATTATATAACAATTTTAATTGTTTATTTAAGAATAATTTATTTTATAGTAATTTTAATACTCCAACTTATTTTATTTCACTTAGTTGGCAAGGCAAAATTTTAATTTAAGTTTAATTTAAGTTTTCAGTGTAGGTTTTTGATCTAGAATTTATTTTATTTTATTTTAAATAATTTTTATTGTTTTTTATTTTATTTTATTGTTATTTATTTGTTTTCTGTTATTTTATCTTAATCTATTTTATCTTATTTTTGTTGTATTTTATTTTTTATTTTAAACTTTTTTTATTTATTTCATCTTATTTTTTATTTTATTGATTTATTTTCCACACCAAAAACATTGAGGCAGCCTCAATGACATACGCAGAAATGAGACACACCCAGTAAATAAATCCATATGTAAATTCCCTGTATTATGATTGGCTAACCTCTTCGCATATGAAATGAGTGTCACTTCCAACATTCTAAATCTGGCTTTTCAAATATATTTCTGCAGGATTTGCTGGCGCTCACTGTGAGCTGGACATCAATGAGTGCGTGTCGAGCCCTTGTCATTACGGCGTGTGTCGGGACGGCGTGGCTGCTTTCACCTGTGATTGTCACCCCGGATACACGGGCCGCCTGTGCGAGACCAATATAAACGAGTGCTTGAGCCAACCCTGCCGAAACGGAGGCACCTGCCAGGACAGAGAGAACGCCTACACCTGTACCTGTCCTAAAGGAACCACAGGTAACACATGCACGCTCATAAAAACACTTGTGCAAAATATAACGGTGAGTTTACGATGACATAATCATGTCGTGATTGCGTCCGCAGGAATGAACTGTGAGATAAACATTGACGACTGCAAGAGTAAACCGTGCGACTATGGAAAGTGCATCGACAAGATCAACGGCTACGAGTGTGTGTGTGAACCCGGATACACAGGTGAGTCAGAGCAGAATCTGTGTGTGTGTGTGAGAGAACAGGTGAACAGGTGGCCAGCGAAGTGCAGAGCTTGTGTATCAGATAACAGATATGACTTAGGGCAGAGACTGCCTTTCCCAACTGGGACACACACTCACACAGGTGTGCTTTACATTAATGCTACGGCCCGAATGATCACAAGACTGACCCTTTGTATGTTGCATTTAAGGAAAAGGTACAATAGGCCCTGTTATACTGTGAATATAGGACAGCAGCAGGAGGAGTTTCACAATATAGCACAGCATCAAGTACGTTATTGTTCTTATACCTATAATAAAAACATAAGAACACAATTTAAAACAGAACTTTATTTTATTTATTTTATCTCGTTTTCAACATAAATGTCTACTAAAATAACACTGAATGCAAAGCAGAAACCGTTTTATATGCCTAAACACACAAGTAAAATTTAAAAAATCATAATTTTTAAGGCTGTTGTATGTCCCAGAATTGCAACTTTATTTTATTAAGCAATGATATTGCTTACAATACTTTGTGCAACACAAGTTTAGGACAGTTTTCAACATCAGTTTTATGAGTTTTTCTACTAAAATAGCACTGAATGCAAAGCCAAAACAGCAGTTTTTAAATGCATGAAATGCATCATTATAAATGCATTTTAACTAATTTAGCTAATGCTTGCATGCAGATGGCAAGCATACACAACATAAAACACTATTTATTTTTTATGTTTTTTGTGTATATAGAGTATTTTTGTCATTCAAGTGCCTTATTTGTAACTTTTGCTATATACAGCTTTAAGGACTGATGTTGCCCATAATCCTTTGCACTATGTAAGAAGGGGAGGGCAGTTTACTTTTTCAGCCTCAATTTTACAACTTTTTCTACTACAAAAGCACTGAATGCAAAGCTGAAACAGCCTTTTTATATGCATGAACCTAAGAGTTAATAAAGAATTTTGAGCTAATTAAATTGACTAGATACTAATACGTACATGCACATAAAAAACACTATTTCTTAGCCTAGTATGCCCTGATATTGTCATTCTTGAATCTTCAAGTACAGAAATTGTCATTGCAACTTTACTTTATTTTAAGGACTTATATTGCTCACAATCCTTTGTGCACATAAGAGAAGGAAAATTCTTTTTAAACATTAATTTTATTTATTTTCCTATTTAAATAGCTTTGCTAAAATAGCATGCTTTTTCGCTACATTTAAATTATTAGCATGGCCTCAAATGCCTTTTTTTGTTTGCTATATAATAAAAAATATTTGTATTTAATTTGTTTTTAAATCATATTTTTTATTTAATTTAACTTTAAATATTAAAAAAAGGGATCTAAAATGTATATAATAGTTATCAGTCTATGGGTGCTGCAAGTGAACAGGTGTTGTTTTTGTTTTTTTTAAGCATGACCGGAACACTTTTTGAGTGGTACTAAAGGTATTGTAGTAAGTATTGTACTCAGTTTAGTGTGTGAGAGAGAAACTGGAATAAAGTCCCATTGTTGTTGGAGAATCAAACAGTTACCCATTACCCTACAGAGGAGGGATGTGTGTGTGTGTGTGTGTGTGTGTGTGTGTGTGTGTGTCGAGGGGGTAATTGTTGTTCGGCCGTGTGTGAAATAAGGTTTGTCCTTTTATATCTGCAAACAGCCCTCTGTAGGACCTGCCCTCCCCCGGCGAGTGTGTGAGGGGTGTGTGAGTAAGGATGAATGAAAGCGCGCAAGAGGGTGGAGGAAATCCTTTGTGCATTCGGAGCAGGGCTGGAGATTTGGGATGGGGCCCACACACACAAACACACACAAAGGCAGGCAATGAACAAGAGTCCCAAGGAACATTCCTTTACTATGCATTTTCACTTATCGATAGTTATACGTTTCAAACTTTGGGTTAGATCACTGTAAGACTTTGAAGAGCATCATATATGATAAATGCAGATGGTCAGTGAGGAAAATGATTGACAGGCTTTTCTCGACATATGTGATTCAATGTGATGTGAATCAAATATATGGCCTTTAAGTTGTTTAACCTCCTTTACTGTCTTACTCATTTACCTTTAACCTCCTTTACTGTCTTAAATAGGTCAAAATTGGTCATATTGTTAAAGTTTCCTCAATTCATTTATCTATCATTTAGTCTGCGTGTGTGTGTGTGTGTGTGTGTGAGTAAACATTTAGTTACAGTTTTATAGTAATTAAAATGTAAACATTTAAAAAGGATTATATATTATATTACATTATATTATATTTACTTTTTTAAAAAAAAGTATTATTCCAAATGGTATTATTGTATTCTTTCAAATAAATGGCATTCTTTTAAACGTTCTATTCATTAAAAAAATCTAAATTTAATGTATCACTGTTTTCACAAAAATAATAAACAGCACAACGTTTTTCAACATTGATAATAAATGTTTCTTGAGCAGTAAATCAGCATATTAGAATGATTTCTGAAGGATCATGTGACACTGAAGACTGGAGTAATGATGCTGAAAATTCAGCTTTGCAACACAGGAATAAATTACATTTTACAGTATATTCAAATAGTAAACAGTTATTTTAAATTCTAATAATATTTGACAATATTACTGTTTTTACTGTATTTTTGATCAAATAAATGCAGCCCTGTTGAGCATTAATGACTTATAAAAAATCTTCAAAAGCATCTTTTAGAATCAAATCAAGTTCATCCTATAATATTTTCCACTGATTATTCAGTTGCACACAGAAATATGTTGCATTTCAGAAGATTCATTTCTGTCTTGTCTTTTCCACACGTATTGTTTTTCCTCACAGGCTCAATGTGTAACATCAACATTGACGACTGCGCGTTAAAACTTATAAAAAATCTTCAAAAGCATCTTTTAGAATCAAATCAAGTTCATCCTATAATATTTTCCACTGATTATTCAGTTGCACACAGAAATATGTTGCATTTCAGAAGATTCATTTCTGTCTTTTCCACACGTATTGTTTTTCCTCACAGGCTCAATGTGTAACATCAACATTGACGACTGCGCGTTAAACCCATGTCACAACGGCGGCACCTGCATCGACGGCGTCAGCAGCTTCACCTGCCTCTGTCCCGAGGGTTTCCGTGACGCCACCTGCCTCTCCAAACACAACGAGTGCTCCAGCAACCCCTGTATCCACGGCAACTGCCTGGACCAGATCAACAGCTACAGATGCATGTGTGAGGCCGGCTGGATGGGACGCAACTGCGACATCAACATCAACGAGTGTCTGTCCAACCCGTGCGTGAACAGAGGCACCTGTAAGGACATGACCAGCGGCTACATGTGCACCTGCAGAGCCGGCTTCAGCGGTAAGACGCTGCGTCCCAATACTTCCTAAATAGTGTGGAAGATTAGTCCTAATGGCTTTTCATATTATGCATGCTTTCTGGTTCACAATCCTTTGCAGTACATAAGAGGAGGAGTTTGTGATGGTTCACATTCAACCATTTTAAATAGTATGAATTTTTGCTAATAGAAATTCATTAAATGCAATCTCGAAACAGCTGTTTTATGATTTTTTAACTTAAAAAGTTAAGCAATAAACAATTGTTAAGATGATTAATATAGATAGATTCTAACGTTTACATGCAAACGATGATGGGCTGTGTGAAATTTTATGAATTTTTTTATGGAGTTAGTATTTTAAAATTTTACTGCAGTGTCAAAATTAAATCATAAATATATAATATAAAATATAATAAAATGCCATTTAAAAAGGTAAAAAATAATAAACATAATTAAAATAATAAATTACAATAAAGTAATATATTTTATTATTAAAGTGCCCCTATTATGCCTTTTCGAATATTACCTTTCATGCAGTGTGTCATGTAGCTGTATGTGAACCTAAACTATCTGCAAAGTTGTGAAGCCGACAGTGCACGATAAATAAAGTTATTGTCTATCTCATAATTACCACAAACTTGTTAACACTTACCACTGAGAAACATGCTGCTCCAGTCGTGCTTGCGAATCAGTCTCTTGTCGTTCAGCCAGTTCAACCGTTTCATCATCAGACTCCGACTCGAATTGGTAAGGTACAATCGATACCATCTTTTCTATGTATTGACAAGGGCTCCAGGGCTGTCATTCCGTCATGGCAATGGGCTTTTCGCTTCCGACACGCGCTGTACGCGGTAGACCAATCCAGAGCCAAGCTCTCTACGGCTCTGGACCAATCACAAAGGACTGCGCCATCTGACCAATCACAGCAGTGAGGGCTCACGGAAAGGAGGGGTTTAGAGAGACTGATTCTTTGAACTGCTTCGCACGAGTCGTTTACGAATCAGTTAGAAATTAGGTCAAATTAAATCTACTTTTTGAGAAAACTAACGTGTTTTTTGACCTCGCATGCATGTAAACCTGTTTTAGGAGACTCATAAAACAATATTATATAAAAAATCTTCAAAAGCATCTTTTAGAATCAAATCAAGTTCATCCTATAATATTTTCCACTGATTATTCAGTTGCACACAGAAATATGTTGCATTTCAGAAGATTCATTTCTGTCTTTTCCACACGTATTGTTTTTCCTCACAGGCTCAATGTGTAACATCAACATTGACGACTGCGCGTTAAACCCATGTCACAACGGCGGCACCTGCATCGACGGCGTCAGCAGCTTCACCTGCCTCTGTCCCGAGGGTTTCCGTGACGCCACCTGCCTCTCCAAACACAACGAGTGCTCCAGCAACCCCTGTATCCACGGCAACTGCCTGGACCAGATCAACAGCTACAGATGCATGTGTGAGGCCGGCTGGATGGGACGCAACTGCGACATCAACATCAACGAGTGTCTGTCCAACCCGTGCGTGAACAGAGGCACCTGTAAGGACATGACCAGCGGCTACATGTGCACCTGCAGAGCCGGCTTCAGCGGTAAGACGCTGCGTCCCAATACTTCCTAAATAGTGTGGAAGATTAGTCCTAATGGCTTTTCATATTATGCATGCTTTCTGGTTCACAATCCTTTGCAGTACATAAGAGGAGGAGTTTGTGATGGTTCACATTCAACCATTTTAAATTGTATGAATTTTTGCTAATAGAAATTCATTAAATGCAATCTCGAAACAGCTGTTTTATGATTTTTTAACTTAAAAAGTTAAGCAATAAACAATTGTTAAGATGATTAATATAGATAGATTCTAACGTTTACATGCAAACGATGATGGGCTGTGTGAAATTTTATGAATTTTTTTATGGAGTTAGTATTTTAAAATTTTACTGCAGTGTCAAAATTAAATCATAAATATATAATATAAAATATAATAAAATGCCATTTAAAAAGGTAAAAAATAATAAACATAATTAAAATAATAAATTACAATAAAGTAATATATTTTATTATTAAAGTGCCCCTATTATGCCTTTTCGAATATTACCTTTCATGCAGTGTGTCATGTAGCTGTATGTGAACCTAAACTATCTGCAAAGTTGTGAAGCCGACAGTGCACGATAAATAAAGTTATTGTCTATCTCA